ATTTCTTAAGAAAAGAAACCCCTGTGACACGATGCCGTGCATCGTGTAGGCAACTCTTTAGCTCATTCTATTGCTAAAATTCCTCGTATAGACTATTTGGAGGGCTTCAACCTTCCTATGAATTTGACGGATGTCGTCTAATAATATGTCTTTTTTTCAAAAAAAAAAAGGGTCTTAAGTTATAAGTCCCTGGTGACAAATCGTATTAGAACTAAATGACAAGTTTATTAAAATTTGCTTCACATCCTTTATTAAATTTATTCAAAAAATGCCCCTCTACTCACAAATTCGAAATTACAACAGGTTGTACATATACTATGATGAACTATGGTATTATTTAACTTTTTTAAGTTTGCATCTACCATTTTTTTAAGTTTTACGTAGAACACGCTTTTTTTTTTTTTACATATTTTTTCATTATATAAAAATCTATTTGTCCCCTTCTTTTCTACATAAAATTGAAAATTATGATTTCTTTTTTCTTTTTTTCTTTTTTAATTTTCATTTTTCATATTTTTTCATTATATAAAAATCTATTTTTTCCCTTTCTTTTCTAGATAAATTCAAAATTAAGATCTTTTTAATTTTTTTTTTTTTTTTTTTTTTTTTTAGTCGTAGACATGTTCAGAAATCCATAGGAACCGTAGTAATCCGTAGTAACCCACATACATCTTGAAACCCTAACTCCTCCTTTCAACCCTAGCCACCAGATACCATAAACACTCATAGACATACATCCAAATCGAAAAATCTTAAATGTTCCTCACCAAACCCTAGATCCGATCGACCGCCACTATCACCACCGCCACTACTCCCCCTCTCCCTCCTCCCACACCCAGACCCACCTCACGACTCATCGTTGTTGGTTGCAAGCAGACAACGAGCCTGCCATAACAGAGCCTCCAGATGCAACCCCTCTCCAGATGCAACCCCTACACCGAGCGTCGCCATAGCCGTCGCCATCTACCATAACCACCGTCATAGTCTTCATCATTTCACTATAATTGAAAAGAAAAAAAAAAGGAGGACCGAGCTTAAGGGGGGGGGGGGGGGGGGTTGAACGTGTAAGAGAGAGAGAGTTGTAAGAATATTTTTTGGTTCAATAAAAATCAAAGGGCATGTATCAATTTTTTAGTCAAAATATTCTATTTGAGTTTGTCATACATATATATTAACCCAAAAAAAAGGATGAGAAGACGCCAAGACGGTTAAAGTGAGAAGTCAAATTTAATTAGTGTTTTGATTAAAGCTTTATATATTGCAATTAAGTCCCAAATTTTAAATTAGTTCCGATTTGGGGCACGACCAGTTTGCATGAATAAAAATTAAAATCAGATTAGGATTTCTTGAATTTTCAAAATTTTCAACTTAGTCCCTGAATTATAAGATTTCTATTAAAAGAAAAGAGATATATTCAGAACTTAACACACTCATCTCTAAACTGAGATTTTCTTCATTTTTTTCCCAACATTTTGCAATTTTAGATGTTTTTAAGTATAAATACGCATTGCGTGCACCAAGTGATTATATCGTACAACGTGCATTAAATCGTGTCAATATAACGAATTCAAAAGAGAGGAAGAAAAAACGATTAACATGTAACAACGATTGTGACATACATCCGAACGTATGCATCAATCACAAAGTAATATTCCCAACTCAATTACTTCATTAAAACGACGGGTAAAAACGGTCAAGTTAGTGTCTCTAGTGAGTAGTCGAAAAAATCATCCAAACCTAGTTACCGTAAAATCCAGCACGAGCAAAGTTTCGTCAATCTTGAACTGTGCTTGTTTCTTCAACTACTGCAAACGAAATAAAACGAATCTTGTTAAATATAGCATATCGTTTTCCGATAAAGCGTACACCTTAGCATACAAATTATTTTACACATTATCGAAGAAACCAATAACCGATTATTTGTGCCTATAAACAGAAACGGCAGAGCTGAATCCGAAGTACAAATAAGAAAGAATAAACACAAGAACCGAAGATGAAAAAACTTAAAAGCATTTCTAGGTGACGAATCACTTAAAATTTAGAAACGATTTAAAATGACGAGAATCGAGCTGCAAACAATCATTCGAAGTGTATTTGATGCATTATGACTGTACTAGTTCTTTCTCGGTAAACCTCGTTGACGAGTGTTAGAGATAATATGACGGAGTTTTATGATTTCTTATATTTTTTTTTTTGTTTATTTATTTATTTATTTTCTCTCTGTTTTTATTTATTTTTTACGTTCTAACCTGCTCTTTATACCATGTTAAAATCGAAAATCGGGAAAAATGATCTATATTATCGAATCATCTCTATAAATTATTAATGCAGTGGGGATTAGGAAAATTCTATTAATTTAGCGAATTATTAAATTATCGAGTTAATAATTAACACGTTCGGGACTCAGAGAAATTATTATTTAAGTGAGGTTATTAATTTATCGAGGTTCTACAGTATACAACTTATAAGCTATGAAACTCTGCTGTTGTACATAACAACCTAAATTATCGACAAAATACAAATACCCAAAGCACTGACTAATTACGTGTATCGTAAATGATAAGCATTTTTTTTAAAACAATAAGCAAAGATCGAGTACCTCGTCATTTGGAAAGAAGAGCACAAGTGAAACCAGCTTCGACGAGCTTTATAACAGCATCTCTAAGCCTGTAATAATCGTCGACAACATTATAAACCTGATGAGAAATCCTCACGTAACCCGTCGTCACCGAATCATCATCGACCTCCCCTTCCAAAGGGGCCCGGTAATAAATCGGAACCTCGACCTTAAAACACTCCCTCAAATGTCTCCTCAATTTCAACGCATCGAGATCGCTCTTCACCCCCAAACAAATCGGCAACCCCACCATAGCCAAGCTCGCGCACATTTCAGGGGGCGCCCCCAATTCCGACCCCCATGCCCCCGCTAGCATCTCCCCCATCTCGACCACCTTATCGTGGTTTCGTTTCATTATTCCCGAAATGCCCCCGTCGAATCTGTTTACGAATTCGATCACCTCGGGTAGGACGAGCTGCGCGCTGTAGTCTCGTGTGCCCATCCAGGCGGTGGCCGTCTCCATTAGTTCGTCGGATGTTTGCTTGGAGTACAAGAAAGCGGCGGACGGTGGGCAGAACAGCCACTTGTGGAGGTTGCTCGTGTAGAAGTCCGCGCCGATGGATTTGACGTCGATCGGGAGGTTTCCGATTGCGTGGGCCCCGTCGATGAATATCGTGTCGACACCTTCGTTCCGGCAGATTTGGACGAGCTCCTTGACGGGGATTATCACGCAGGGCATCGAGGTGATGTGGTCGATCACGGCGAGCCGGATTTTCCGGCCGTTCGATTTGCCGGTCCGGAGGGCTTTACGGAATTCGAGGACGATCTCGGAGGCGGATTTGACCGGGAAGGGGAGGTGGACCTCGATGACGTGGCCGCCGGCGCGGGTGATGTAGGCCTGGACGGATTTTTTGACGGCGCCGTAGGCGTAGTGGAGGATGAGGGCGGCGTCGCCGGGGCGGAAGTTGGAGGAGAGGGAGAAGGAGCTGGTGGTGTGCTGGAGGACGACGGCGGCGGCGGTGGTGGCGTTGTCGACGATGGAGATCTCGTCGACGCGGTCGGCGTTGATTAGGGTTTGGATGAGGCGGCGGGAGTGGAGGATTGAGGGTTTGAGGAGCTTGGCGTGGTAGTAGTCGGGCTGGCGGAGGAGGAGGAGGTGGTGGCGCTGCTGGGCGGCGATGATGGTGGCGGGGCAGCAGCCGAAGCTGCCGTTGTTGATCCGGGCGATTGTCGGGTCGTGGTGGGAGAATTCGGAGCGGAGCTCCGATTGGGTGATGTAATTGGATCCGGGTTTGGGGTTTTCGTCGTCGTCGGCGGCCATTTGGGGGAAGTGGTGAAGGGCATAACTCTCTCTCTCTCTCTCTACTCTCTATAAACAAATGTAGAGAGAGAGTAGAGAGAGAAAGTGGATGACATGGATTTCGACAATAACGGAATAAAAAAACAAATTGTTTGAGGGAATCAAGATTGAAGAAACATAAACTAGTGGAAAATGGAACGAAGCAAAGAGTTACACAGTTGACATTTTTTTTTCTGTCATGTGAGAGAGATTTTCAAATTCAACAAGTTGTTGTGAATCAGATTTTAATCAGGTCAACGATTAATTTCCTTGATTCATTACTTGGTAATAGGATTATGAACGGGAGTCGATCACCCGATTATATTTTAGTCGAGCCCGATCAATCCATAACCCAGGGCGTTGAAATTTGAACGAAATTTTCAATTTCCGCCGATTTAGATCAATTTTTTTTTTGATTTGTGTCATTCCATCACGAATAATTATGACTAGTGGCATTTTATAACTTGTTCATAAGGGAAAGGAACAAGTCAAAGAATTTTAGCAAAACCCACCTCTGAAAGAATTTGCATCACTATAGACACTTAAAAAATAACTGGATTGGAAATGCTTCTTAAAAAAAATGGTTGGAAAGTGGCTATTTTGAATTGAGTGAGAGATGTCCATAAGAGTTAAAGAGAAATTCGATAAATATTCAGACCCGAATGAAAAAAAATAATATGATTTTATAGCAGTGGTGCTTGATCTGCACCGTGAATTGATTTTACGTTTGACAAATTACGAGGATAGTGAAGTCCATCTATGGATTTGATTGAAGGATTCGACAAATACGTGGCTGCAGCCCGTGATGTATTAGCAGTTCCAGTCTTCACCAATACTTCAAAAGATGTTTCGTCACGAAAAATAAATCCACAGATTAAACAAAGATCAACGCAATACAGGACCGATTCCGTAAAACGAATCGTGTTTACCAAATGCTAGTCACTGTTTCAAACGACATCTTAGAGAAAAGATACTCACAGTTTTGAAGGGGAAAAAAACAGTCAATCATACACTACGAGTACAAGCAGGCGTTTTTTCGAGCTCCTCACAGTATATATATATATATATATATATATATATATATATATATATATATATATATATATATATATCAGAAATCCCCTATTCTTCATCACTGTCATTGCTAAAAACGGAGGCAATAGCTACCTTCGGCTTCTTAGTTGTATTGCTAACAGAGCTCTGCTCAATGAAAACATCAAGACTAAGCAATATTTCAAGAATCAAAAATCAAACACTAATAATAGGGGCCAATGAGCACAAAGAAACGAGTGGATACCTTGACAGCGCTGCCTTTGGCGGAAAATCCGAACTTCAAAACTTTACGCTGATCTTGGTCGGTAACTTTAGTAGCACTGCTCGTTACAGCAGGAGGAGCTGGGTGGGTCCCACTTTCCTCCTGATTCTGCGTCTGTTGTTGCTGCTGCTTATGTACATCAGCCCTGTTATAGAGCAAATACAAATTATACAATATTTTTCCTCGTGTAAATAAATAAACGAGTTTCAAGATAATAATAATAATAATATACATTTGCAGAAATTTTGCCATCTCTTTTTCATGACGTTGTTGTTCTCGTTTCTGTCTATCGTCCCGACTGCTGCTTCCATGCATATCCCTCATTTGTTTGAATCTCTAAAAAAAAAAAAAAAAAAAAAAACGAACTTCATTTTGATAACACACTCGATAATAGAAACAGAAAAGTGACAGTAACATATG